ACCGCCCGCCCTGAAGAAGCTGAGCGGAGCTTCGCTTTCGCTGGGACGCCGCTCTGCGCGCTCCGGAGACCTCAGCTGGCCGCTCCCGCAGGGAGACGGGCGGAGGGGGCCGCGGGGGCACAGAGGGCAGGCTGGGGGCCGGTGGAGCGGGACAGGGATGGGGGGACAGAAGGGGTCCGTGCAACCACTCCAAGAAAAACAAACCAAAAAATCTGTCTGATCTTCCTGGCCAAACTTCCCTCCTTCTCCCGGCCATTTGTTTACTGGAAAGGATGTGTTTTGATGTTCCGTTCTCTTTCCGCGGTTCACGGAGCTGCTAGAGGGAGTCGCTGCAGCAGAAACTTGTTCTGGAGGGGAAGAAAAAAAAAAAAGCTTTGAGCACTGGGAGAAAATGTGAAAGCTTGCAATACTTATCTTTCGTAAACAGAATGAATGTTTTTTCTTTTTTTCTTTCTTTTTTATAATGAGTGCTGCATAGCACGTATCAGACTTCGTGTGTTCCCATAAAATCTGCGGAATCCTCCCTCTCATTCTCAAGATTCAAATACGTTATCAAGTTAAATGGATTTGGAGGTTCCAGGATTAAACACATCATTAAATTAAAGAAAAAAAAAGTGAGAGTTTTCAAATCCAACTTCCACTGCCAACATTCTGAAGGTTATGCCGTATTTATTATGTCCAATATATCAATTTTTTTATGAAAGATGGGGTATGCTGGAAGCATTTCAGAACCTTTAGCAATTCTCTCAGTGTATGTGATGTTTCTTGTCCCCATGAGGCTCTATCTAAGGTTCTTGATGGCAGGAGAAAGGGGGCTGCGATGCCAGATTCCTGACTGCTTAAACTTGTAAACACTTCCAGTGAACTGAAATGATCAATCATCCTACAGGGTCATTATTCACATTCTATCCGCATTTCCCCCCAACAGCCACTAGCCATCAGGATATAGTTGTACAAAGACATGGCGAGTCCAGCCTAAACCGTCTTAAGCTTGATACATTATTTTTCATGAAAACGTCGTTTATTCAAGAAATCTCATAGCATTCAACACGTTGTTTACCATCAAAATGCACACATACTGATACATGTCATCATAGTCCTGAAGTTTAAAATAATTTTGGGTTGAGTTTACTCATGAGTGTTTTCAGGGACTCTGGTGAAATGAATTCACTTGTTTATAATCCTATCTGGAAAAATAATTCATAAATTTGATTTTTCTGCCATGTTTCAGAAATTATTTGAAGAAGCATACTTATTTTGTGCACATATATATCCAATTCCTTCTTAGTAGTTACTTACACAAGAGCAAAATTGAAGGCAAAAATACAGTATTTTTGCTTCTGAGGGCTTTCTTTTTACTAATTTGCATCCACATGAACCTTTCTTTTCAGTTTTATTCCCAAATATGTCAGTTTCTTTCCCAAACAGTTTCCTAGGATTATCTCTCTGACACATCTAGACCATAATGCTTGCATTCCAGGTAATCTGCAATGTTGAATCTCCCTCTGACCACTCTTGATTTTATGTAAATATATAAATGGCATGTCACGCCTTTCTGCACTGCTTACTACATACACACACACACACACACACACACACACACACACACATGTTCTAAAAGGTCCCTCAGTCCCAAAGTGCTTTTAATAATGGTTTCTGACACCAGAGGAGGGCGTGAACAATGACATGTGGGAGCAGATGGTCATTCCGCAATTGCAATTACAACGGAGCCAGCGGAATAATCTTGTTTTTAGGCTGATCAAAGCACATGTGTTTTGTTTCTTTGGAAATGTCACATGACATATTTTGGTCTGCTTCATACCAACCTGCCAAAATGTCAGTGAAGACCGAAAAGTTCACTATAGAAACATAGACAGTACATTATAAAAATTCTTACATGATTCCACCAAAGCCTGTGGTCATGTTGTTTAATAGACACTATCTCTCACTTCACTCCAGTGATCATACTGTCGGGGGTTATGAATTCAATTAAGGCAGGCATAATATTATTCAAAAGCCTAAGGGAATGAAACTGGAAAACAAAACCGTGTCTCAAGTATGGAAAGAAAAAGCAGAATAATTTCTCATTGTCTCTAAAAGAGAGAGGACAAAAGAAGGAAGAAAAGAAAAAAGAAAAAAAGAAAACAAAATAGAACTAATTTGGGCATACATGCATGGAGATGCATGCATACAGAAAAGTAATGGGAAGACAGCACCTTCCTAGGGGAGTCTAGGTTTTGTTCTCTGCTAATTGGCTATGTAACCAAAAGCAAATTATTCTCTCATCACTCTCATCATTCGTAAAATGTGGATCTTGTACTAAGTTGTCACTAAAGTCCGTTACGTACCTGCCATCTTGTGAGTCTACATTAGAATTCAAACTTGTGGTGAAAAAGAGTATGAAAACGAATATACGTATGTTCATGTAGGATTGAAGCGTTGTGCTATACACCAGAAACTGACACAGCATTGTCAACTGACTACACTTCAATACAATTATATTAAAACAAGAATTCAAAAACTTTAGAAATTTTTATATTGGAATTTGATGTCTTAAGAGCTTTCCCCTTAGGTGGGAAAAATTGGCATCTGTTGTTAAGACTGTGAAAATGGTACCTTAGAGTAGTTAGTTTGGGAGACGTGGAAAGGGCAGAGTGACTAGAACCAGGGATGAGTTAAGAGGTCAGAGAGTGCATTTTACCTACTCAGAATGAAACTCAAAGAGGACCAAGTGGGTCTATTAAAGTAGTCACGTATTTTTGCATAAGCAATATTACAATATTCCCACATAGTCACACGTGTAATTACTGTGTAGGATATTGAAAGTAACTGTAGAACAACAGTAAGATGCCAGGCATGCAGGGAGGGACTGGATGGCTTTTTAGTCGTAAATGTCACTAGAAAGATGACTGAAATATTAAGTAAGGATACTCAAGGAAAATATTTTTAAGGCTGAATAACCAACATGTACTGAAGGGTTTTAATTCAGGTAATTTACAAGAGCATATTAAAATGTAATAGACAGACATTATAAAGTGCGCTGTGTTGTTGTCTTGTGAGTGCGCATCTATACTTGTATGAAAGATTTACCTTTTAATCACATTGCTTTTCAGTTCTCTATTTTCGGGCTCCTGTCGCGTCATCAAATTTTACAAGCGCCTTTTCAAATGATAATTATACTAATGTATTTGTAGTCCATTAGAATTATAAACACTCTAAAGAAAATAACACTGTATGAGTTGTTCATTTTTTCTCTTTGGATCAATTCTAAGAAGGTTGGCTGAAAGTTAGGAACATGCCTATTTTGAAAAGCAAAGGTTCACCACTTTGGGCTAGGTAATTTGTACTTTCAATTTGGAGGGAAGTGAAATAAGGCAGGGCCAGGAAAAATCACCACCATAATGGCCAAACCTTCCTTCATTAAAGAGAGTGGTGAGATTACAACTAAGCACAACGTGTCTCTGTTAGAGACCTCGAACCTCCTGCAGTGCGGGCTTCTGTACGCTGGTGTTTTCTCCTGATAGGTACAGACGTGTGGTTTAAAAAGTGGGATGGCGCATTGAACAATTAGTTCTCATGAAAAAACAATTTCTGAAATTTAATTTAAACCTTTCTTCTCCGCCTTTGGATGCAATTCCAAGTGTTAAATATGCAGTGTTTTACAATATTATTTGAATTTGTGACACTTGAAAGTATATTTTCCTTTTCCAACTTCCTCTTTTGTTTTCCTTCCTTACTTCTTTTATTTTGTTTGTTTCCCCCTGTCTAACTCCTGTTCCTTCATGATCTTTCTCTCTACTGTTTATCAATTTCAAAAAAAATATGTTTTTTAGTTCAATAAAACATTCTTTACTGATGTGTCTTGTGTTACAGGATATTTAAATACAACACTGTGTTATGGATGGAATATTGATACAATGCATTTATATATAAATTTCTTAACTAACCCAGATTGCTGATTTTAAATGCACTTTGTGAGGAAGGTGTGAGAGGGAAATTATGCGCTGAAGAGGATTTTCAGATGTTTTCTTTAAGATATAGACATAAGATTTAGGATACATATAAGAATCAAAACTTCAGTACTAATACATAAAGGTCTAGACTAAAGAACACTGTTCAGTTACACACACACGTTTTTGACTCAAGTGGTATTTCCAATCAACTACATAATTTCATGAGATTATATTAGCTTATTTTTTAATATGTGAACATTGAGATTATGTTTATATATATATATATATATATATATATATATATATATATATATATTTGTCTCCACTATCATAGTGCAGGCATTGTGTTGGTTTTGGAGAAGAGATTTTTACATGTATCATGAATAATGTAAAAGTCACTTTTTTTTTTTACTAGTATTCACTTTAACACACAGGGAGATACATCAAGAAAGATTATTTTTTAAATTTTAATCATGCACTCACCATCACAATGGTACATTTCATAAATGATTAGAGATTTTTTTTCAGAAATAATATGCTAAAACTTTTATATGACTCTTTATCACTCAAACTTTTAGATCAATACACTTATGAACTCTAATTCCCACTGTGCAAGTGGACTTTTCAAATTCTTCAGGAACCTGGAATGTTTAATATGAATAAAAGTTACAGGTTTAAGACATTTGTTGATGTCAATCTGTATTGAGGTAATATTACATAGAAAAAGGACAGGACCTATTTCAAGAAACACTGCTAAACTAAAAAGGTAAAACCTACAGCAGTGAACAGAACAATACAGGTTGGGCTTAGGGAATAGATTTGTTCATTATGGTCAATAATCTAAGGTTCGTTATTGTGAATAATTATCATCAATAATTTGGGATCAAATTAAAATTCTGAGTTTGAATTTAGAATTAAATACTAACAGCCATTCAAAAGACCACTGAAGACCACAGGAAAAGTGTGGGTCAGGGGTGCTGAG